TGCCCTTTCTTCTATCTTTATTATTCAAAGGCAGCCCTTTTGCTCACTTGCTTCCTTCTGCTTTTCCATTTGGGCACCCCAACGTACTCTCAGCAGCTGAGGCTCTTTCTTGTGAAAAGCTAGTAGAGACTGGGCTAGCAACATTGAGATGAAAGACAAAATTATTTTCAACTCACAAACTCTGATCATAACCCATAATAAGATTCATTATTATACTTCACACTGACCTATAAAATTTACAGTAAAATTATATAAGAACCACTCATCTAACATTATTTAAGAAAAATAAAACCAGAGAATTCAACATTTGAAAAAATATATTCATAAAACAGAACTGAGAGAGAGAGTCAGCAGGAGGATGCTCATTGTCAAGGATTAAACCTATAATATGTTAGCAGTAGATATCAGTACTGTAATTACAAATGATATTAATAAAAGCATTAAGGTTTTTAAGTGACAGAGATATTTTAATAAATTACTAGTAAACTAAAAGGTAGACCAAGGATCACCTCATGTAATTATCTTTTTTTTTTTCTACAGCTGTTTCTTAAATGTCTCAGGAAATGAGAGACATAAAATAGTCATGACATCTCTCCTGTGTACTTCTGATCTTGGTTGCTTTCTGTGGACAAGACCAGAAAAATCCATGCCTTGTGAGCGAATAGGAACCCTGTTGCAGATAAGAGCTAGCAATTTAAGGAACATTTAACATTAAGTTTTCTTTTAAAATGTTTAAGTTCTTCAAATTTGGATATATACCCCTAGATCCAACCATCTTTATGTGGGACCTAAATGAATAGCATCAGCATTTAAGCTGCATCTCCGCCTTCAAACCCATAGGTGCTGTAGCCCTCCACAGAAAGCAAACTCATTTGAAAATGAAACAGGACTATAAATGTGGCATTTCAAAGCAGCGTACCTTCTCAAACAGTCTTGTGTTGATTTCATGTTGCTCCAGAAGATAAGCTTTAGCCATCATTAGAGTTACCCAGGGAAACAGAGAGGACTTGCTTCTTTGTATGTTATTTTAGCATGTATGAGCATGTTTTTTTAGGGAGTTACAGAAAGGATGATCTCACTCTTTAGGCATTCTACTCCTGTATGGACTGTGGTTCTTCGCCTTCTCTTCGAGCTCTGCAGACCTGAGCTAAGCAGGACGCCCAGTGCAATCAAATGAGCAAGTACATTTCAGTGCACTCTCAAGACGACTGGAATCCTTTCAGAGGAATCCTGGAGTGAACAAGGCAGAAACATTTCTAATATTTTCACTTTCTCTAATAAAGATAGGACTTCCCACTTCATGACAATGTAGACAGCTGGCAGCTAAGTAGCAATTTACACTTGCTAAGCACAAGGGACAGGGAAAAAAATTGTGTTTTGGGAACTTGGCAGTATTTGTCCAGGGTATATAAGTAAACATTGATTACAGAAATTTCATATGATTTAGTAAGGAAAACAAAAAAAGTTCTATCACTATGGTAACAACATAGGAAATGGAATACAGAAGGGCATTCTACCTGTATATGTCTCCTTTTTTGGTTCATGTGTAGAATTCATTTCAGGAATATAAGTCTCCGCTAAATGCAGTTCTACATGTTTAAGAATACATACACAACTATTTCTATTCTTTTCTGTAGAATTTCTCTATTTCTGTTTTGTTCTGTAGAATTTCTCACTGGGGCTTGCAGAAAATAGGCCATAAATTATTTGCAAAAAGAAGAAAATAAATTATACTTCAACCATTTTTGTATAGAACGTATTGCTTCATATAGAAATAGTAGGTTTATAGCTTTCTGAGACTAATTGGTTCATTCCATTCACAATGATTTATTTCTTAATGTTGCTGATTTGCATGCATATGCTGGTTGGAGTATGTAGAGCTATTTTATATATAAAATTGATAAATATATTTAATTTATTGATTTGCAAATGACAAATTTATTCAGTCTAAAAAGTTTGTTGGTTCATGAGAATGAAATATTGATTTTTGTGCATAGTACCGTTTTAGATATGAACTTAAATAGACACAGCAGAGCTGCTTACAGTGCTTGGTGGAAGTCTATCAACATTTCATCCTCATCTTTATCGTGAGGAGTTTATATCTAGGTCATAAAAAATGACTTTGGGCTGAGTCTTCTTCTAAGACAGTCGTGTATCTACTGCTTGACATCTCAATCAAGAGCACTTTTAAGCACATCCACAAAGCAGATTGGTCACTGATGAGCAACAGATGTTTAGAAGAAATACTCATTACTGTAATTACGGGTTTTTTTCTGTCTGTAATTTGTGCAATTGGCTGTATTGTGTTTTCTGTTAAAGAAAAAAATGTGTTTATTGAAGAATAATGAAAAGTGTTGCAAAGTGCTATGTACACAAGTCAAGTGTTCTCTTAAGGCCCGGTCTGGTGGCACTGAAGTCAATGAGAGTATTTCCATGACCTGAAAAGTTCCTGAGCTAATCTCCCTTAACCCTGGGGCAGAGAAACATTCAAGCGCGTCATGACAGTGACGCCGAATCTCGGCAAGCCAGCTATACGGTTCACTGACTTGCAAATTCCCTGTTATCCCCATACACTTTATTGTTATTGTGTCTAGTTTCTAGAAGAAGTGAGGTAATGAGCTGCATTCACAGTGATTCTTTATAAGTCTGTATAAAGTTTATTTTAAGATGCTTATTTTTGTGTATGTGCTGAAGTGAATGACTTCCCATCAGACTGCAAGAGAGATCTGCTGACATTGCATGGGGATATAGGTATGCAAACATCGCCTCTAAAGAAAACTGGCTTATGAGTTTCTAGCCTCCATTCTTTTGCCATTCTTTCTCTCTTCTCCCCTTACGGCTAAGCCTTGCACTCACCCCTCCCAGTTCTGCTGATAGGATTGATTGTGGGACTAAACAGTAAACAGGAGCACTGTAGGGACTTGTTTAAAAAAAAAAAAAGAAAATGGAAATGATATTGCTATGCAGGGTTTGAAACTTGTGTCTGGTGGTTGAGGAAGAGGATGGAACGTCTTTAAATCAACCTTGTATCCGCATCCTGTGTGGCTTGGCTTTAGCCCGGGAAGCTATTACATTTTGCAATCAATCATGTTCGTTTTGTATTCTGTCTGGCCAAGTGATAACACTGCCTAGACAGTGCCCACAGGACATCAGCATTTTAGCTGTGGTACTCAGAAATGCGATGGAAGAAGACCTAAGGATTCGTTTCGTAGCGCTTGTGGGCTCTGACTCACAAGGACCCTTCAGAGGGCAGAGAGGTTTCTGGTTGGAGCAGAGACCTGTGGGGAAATGGGACCTAGAAGAACTACCCTGTCACTAGATTATGATGCTGTTTAGTGCAGGCAATACCTAGGTCTTGCTAAGGCTGCAAATTGCACTGTGAGTTTTTTTAGTTAGGGGAGAAAAAGAGTGTCTTGAAGCTGAACTGAGGTATAAGTAGCTACACATATGTTCTGCTTTTCTTTTACTGTCTCAAAATATCACATTTATTAAGCTTTCCATTTTTAAGTTAAATACAATGTATATTTGCTTTCTCCGTATAGTCTATCCATCTGGTCATAAGAGACACTTATGTCTGGCACAAGTCTGGCAAACCATTGCTGTTTCATTCTCAAGGAAATAACAGTTCAAAACGTAGATTAGGCTGAATAGATGAACTGTGGTATAGACAATGAAAAATATTTTGCTTCGAGTTAAGCTCAAGCTATTAAATAGGCCTGGGAATCAAGCTGGGCAAAGGATAATGTTTATTTACCCAGATTATGTGTGCAAGTTCTTCAGGATAGAATGGGTTTTACCTGCTGAAAAACTTGCTGACGTGAATGACAACTGCATATTTGAATGAGTATGTGCATTGCCATTTGGAAAAAGTAGCTACCTTTACCAGCAATACAAAGCTGTGGAAAGTTTCATTTCTTCATGTGTCACATCCTAGTCAAAAGCACTATGTGTGTGTGAGTCTGAGTTTGTTCAGCAACAGACAGAGAGCTGATCTCACCCGGAAGTCTACTGTAACTAACAGCTGATAACTATAGATACTAATTCTCAGGGGATTTCCTTCAGGCACTCCACATTTTTTTAATAAAGCTTGTCCAAATAATTCTGAATTTTCTTTTTTTCAGGAATCAACTTGATGAAGAATCAAAATTGAATGGAACTAGATACCTTTTATGTACAAATACTGATTATGTTTCTGTTGATTTGCTGTGATTTTCTTGAATGCTGATTCATGAGATAACACTGCATCATACATTAATTTGGTCCCAGAGCTTGGTGAAATTATTTCCAGCTGTGTAGACTGACCTCATAGAACATGATCTCTGTCACATCACCTTGAAAGACAATATCTTATCCATTGCATGTACCCATGCAGACACATGTTTTTCCATTATCTCATTCTTTGTATTCACCTAGAGACATGAAACTACTGAAACTACCTATTGATGGCTTCAATTGGTCTTACAGTTATTATCTGTATAGCAACAGTGCCTGAGAACTCCAGAGCCAAGTAGCTAAATAACAAAACCTAAAGTCTTGCATCAAAGAGCTTACAATGCAAATGAAAGATTGAAAAAAAAAAAAAAGATACAATAAGTAAAGTGGAAAAATACAAGGTGAAAGAGAAAACATGGACTAAACAGGTGATAAGTATCATGGAAAAGGTAAGTTTTACAGAATGGTTAAAAGGAGAATAAATAAATAGCAGCTTCTTAGATCCTAGGGTTAACATGTTTGTCATGGACCTTCCACCCAAGCATTAGGAACAGTAGCTCAAATATATTATTTGGGGAACCTGACAAGTTGAGTTATGAGTGTAATTCTAAATAAACCGATTAGTGCATAAAAATATCCAGGAGGATGCTGCTGATCCATCAAAAGTGCTTGCAAAAAACACATAGATAGAATCTTTTTTTAAGGAATATTTATTTTCAATTCCATTTAAACAACCCACTTTTGTAACACATTAAAATCTTTAGGAAACATTCTAAGAAATTTCAGGATTATAGCCACAGGGATGAATTAAATGCATTTCATTTCTGCAGATTAAAATACAGAATATGTTTGCATCATTCTGCATTTTGTTATGTTGCTGCCTTTTGGTATGCTTTACATTAAAAATACGTGACGGACACTCTTTATACCAGTAAGCCTTTTTATTGAAAAAAAATGTTATTGCAGTAAACTACATTCCCAGGAATTTCTTGAATAACCTAAAAAAAAAGCCGCATTGCATGTACAATAGTGCAATTCACTTAGCTACTGTATAATATAAAACACTTTATACAGAGGATACAAAACAAAATTACTAGTTTACATATTATACTAGCCAGAGTATTATTCAGTTTTAAATATAAACTTAACGCTTTTAAAATCAATCTGGTCAAATGCATTTTTATGCAAATCTGCACAACAAATATACATGTTAAATGTTTTCCAGAAGTGCCTCAGTTACCAAAAAAAGTCAAAGTTTCATCATCGTGGAACTCAAGAAACTTTTGTTATTGAAATTTTACAGTGTGGGTCATCTGTTTTCTTGGATTATGCATCAAGAATATACAATCAAGCTTAAACAGATTATTAGCTTAGAGTGTATATACCTCTGCCACCAGGAATGTGTAACCCTTGTAAAAATTAGTCTAAATAAAATCGGAATTGTAGCATGGCTCCATATATCAGGCTCAAGTATGCTTTTAATAACTATAATGTTACATATTTAAAATAAATTGCTGATGAAAAAGAACTACAGCAGTAAGTAGAGCAAATACGTCATCTCAGCTGTGCTGATAATTTTAACATATTTCTCCAAGAAAATCCCTTCTGTATACTAAGATCTGTAATACCGGACATTCTCTTAGTCCAATCTATTAACAGCTATTTTGCTATTATGCTGCTTCTATCCCTTCTTAATCTCTCTTTTTCCATCAGTACATATCAAGATCCCAACTCCCATAATTTTTACTGTCTATACATTTGCCTTACCAGATCGTCTCTGTTGATATAAAAAATTATGCACGGCTATCCTCGTTCCTTTCTAGAAACTCATTTTCCTATGCATATATTAAAGGAAAGGTATATAAGTAATGGAATAGGTTTCCAAAAATGATCTATTTAGTAGGATGCCACGAGGTTTCAGTTGGTTGGGTTTGTTGCCATAGATTTTTTGCCGTAGGAATTTTTGCAAAATTTTTGATGCCTATAAGAAGTAGGGGTGCAAAAGGTGTGTGTATATATTTAAGTATAAGAATAGCCGGTCATTTCTTCCCTTCCACTTTTTCTCTTAATAGTACCTACATAGGTTTCAAAAGAACCATTAAAGACAATGAGAACACTTAGTTTATCTTCAATAGGAACAAAATCAGCCGCAAAAAATTTAAAAATTTGTCAGGCAGGGAATGCATCTTTTAGGCTCATACCAGTCCTAAACGGAGGGTTGTGGCTGTGCAGCTCTGCCAGCCTCTTCCAGAGCACAAGTTGACCTGTTCCTGCAAAATGCTCAATTCACACCTTTTCTATAGAATTATAACTAATTTTTTCAAGTGATCCACTGAGACAGGGCACTCACTCTGAACAAGCAAGCACCAATTTTTCAGAGGTGATAAGAAGCATTCAGTGAAATGTGATAAATTCACAGAAAATAAAGTTTCAGTAGGCCAAAATTATGTGCAAATTTAGATCTAATTAGGAAAACATTTTCAGAGAGAGAATTTTTAGAATATGAGACTCTTTAGTCTTAACATATTTCCCCCAAAACTTTCTGACTTCCTTAATTTTGAATAAACAATTTTAATAAAATTTTCCCTGTAATTGACAAAAGAGAAATTAAACAGCAAGTGTAAGTAACTCCAAAACTTAAGACCCCATTTTGTTAAGGAATAAATGAATCAGCTGTGAATGAAACCAAAGTAAATCCAAAGGTGCTGGTTTCACCAACCTGTTGTTCATTCCTAACGGTTTGTTGCTGCTCTGTTCCAAACGTTTTTCCTACACTTTTTTATTTGATGGCTAAAATGTTAAGTTACCAAATAAACTTTAACTTTGCAAATCAACTGCAAAATAAGCAGTCAAAATTAATAAACACATTTGAAAAGTTTGGCCTAAAATCAGCTCATGCTGAAGCAGCTGCTTTTAGAAATTAAAATACTTTAGCACTGTATCAATCTAGCCTGATTAAAACTAAGTGAGAAAATTGGTTCTAAGTAGTATTTTAGATATCTAAGCTTACCCTAATCACAATTAGATTTCTCAGCTTCCTTAGCTAGCCCAATGCCATGAAATAAAATTCCACCACAATTTTTTAATGTTTTATTTTTGTCAGTTCTGAATTATTAACTGTGCACTAAACTACTGCAAATGAATTCAAATTATTTCAAATATCTTCTTAATTGAAATAAACAGGTACTGTCTGTCAGACACTTCACTGTTCTTCACTTATTGGGAAGCATGTCTGCAGTCTAACCACAATTAGGAACTTCATTTCATACTACATAGCCAGTGTTGAGTTAGAAACATTATAAAAAAAGTCAAGACGTGCCATTCAAAGAGGTGCTGAAGCCCTAACCTGTTTCCATATACGGGTTATTTGCATGGTTTTTAACACAAACAACCACTCCTTACGCTGAAGTTTAGACACATGCATTCATATGCTGCAGATTCAGGACTTTAATTTGCATCACGGAAGTTTGGGAAATCATGTTAAAAACTTGGCATATTTGTTTAGATTCAATATATTTGGAAATGCTGAGCACTGTCCTGAGGTTGTTTATGGAAATTGACCTGTAGGTCAGATTCTGCTTGGAGTACTTCCACATTTTTATGAGTTTCCTCAGGATTTTATAGGGCCAGCCATGTTTGTGACCCTATCAATAAATGGGAGTTTCCCTAATCGAAGCCCCCTGCAGAGCTGCATTTCTTCAAAATAAACACCTGGATGTTGGAAATACTAAATTTTAACTCTTCCTTCACTGGGAGCCTGAGGAGATGAGCTCAGTCCAGCCAGAATTTTCCAAGAATATTGTTTGTGAAGAGGTTGAGACATTTTTAGACATTCTTTGGGCAAGATTCTCCCATATACATCTTTTTGGCAAGAAAGAAGTACTGCAGTCCTGGCCAGGACCCTCTGCGATTCTGAGCATCTGAATCCCAGCCCTGACATACCCTCTATGCCACAGCCCCAGACACGCAATGACAAAGAACTTGCTTCATCTCCTTTCTTACGCTATCATTTGTGTGGGAGAGAAAAATAGCAGCCTGCTTATGCCAGCAAAAAGCCTCCTTACACTAAGAGAATTTTTTTGCTATATGCTTGTGGCCAGAAAACAGTCCCTTGACACTGTTTAAACAACATACTTCAGCTATAAAATCACTGCAGTATCTGAGATGTTGCCGTCACCTTCTTCCAGTGTAACTCATTACACATCAGTAATTGGGCTCTCCAAAGTATTTTTGCCAGGAGATTGAACCAGGGACTTATGGTCCTTCTTTTTTGTTCAATCTGAAATGCCTTAAACAGAACAAGTGTTATGCTGCTGCACATACTCAGAAAGACAAGCTTTTGCGGTGTGTCAAGCTTGCGCTACCTTAAATTACAGCACTTTAAATCACTAGTCACTTCTGAAATTCTTGGTCCTATTGTGTGCTTGGGTGCTGTGGTCCTGCTCCCGATGACAGCCACAGATTTCATTTCAGACTGTTCTTTCTAAACCTTCTGCAGACTGACATTAGCTGGACCCTGTACTTCTTGTGAAAATAACAAGAAAAGCTTTTAAATTGCTTTTACTCACAATATGAGAACTAAATCAACATTCACATGCTGGCAGCCAGAACCTGGACTTTAAAGTATTTGCTGATGTGCTCTCAACAAAACAGTAGATTTCCCCTCAGACATGTGATTGAATACTGAATAATAATTTTTCTTCAAAGTTGTTTTTGGAGCCATGATATAAACGTCTGGGCTAGCTTAAATAGCTAGAAACACCGAAAACGTCTTTTATTGTGGGTAACTGTTGGGTTGGGCTAGAGCAAGAATGGTGGTGGGGATCTTGTCCTTGGAATAAAGGATGAATTAAGGGATTTGGATGTATAGCAGAGGTGGCTGCAGTCAGGTGTGGGGCAAAGAAAGCTGGGATATATGCAGCATGTGGCAATGCTGGGAAGTTCAGTGGGGAAGGGTGAATGGGGGTAGCTGAGACCACATGTAAGGGGTGACCTGTCAACAGAGCGGCATGGGTGGGAATGAGGGCTGGTGCTAAAGCGGAAAGTGATACGGGGGAGAAATGCGCATGAGAGAGCGGATGGAGGTGTGTGAGGGAGAGATGGCTGGTGTGGGGATGTACTGATGCTGAGACAGCAAAGCGTTGCAGCAGCGTGTGGTGAATGGTGGTGACAGTAGCGTGCTGCTGAACGGGGACAGTGGGAACTGCTGGTGTTGCAGAGAAGGCAGCTGGTCCTGGGGCACGCAAAACTTTAAGGTGTTTTGCCAGAAGTTGTTTCTGCATATGCTGCTGAGCTTGCAGCTGGAGCAACCTATATTTATCTATTTCCTCTGGTGAAAATGTTATAGGCTGCTGTGTTAAAGGAGGGGAACTGGCTTTATTGTACACTTCTAGGTCATTTACTGTTTCATTGTACTTCTGCATAGCATTGTCACAAAGAGAGTCTGAACTGCCGTCCGCTTGGTTCAAGTCCATGTTTACATCATGTAGTTCTTCTTTGGTCTCCGTTGAATTAGCAACAACAGAATATTTATTAGAGGGAAAAGCACCAGGGAAATCATTTGGTACTGGGTCACAGCTTTGTATAAAGGGCTGTACTTCACTAATTAAGAGATTGGATTGTTCCTTTATTGCTGTGTTCCTTTTCATGCTTGCGCTCTGATAGCCTGTTCCTATTTGAATGAGGTCTTTAAAAAGACAATGATCATAATCAGTGCCTGTTGAAAGACCAACATTAGTTATCTCTGAAGCTTCAAAGTTGTTTTTGTTCTCACAGTTTTCCACTGAACTGATTTCATTATGCCCTGTATCATTTTTATCTATGCTTAGGAGTTTCTCTGGCAAAGGTAACATTGCTGCGTCATCTACTGATGATGAAAACTGAAGCTCAAAGTGACTTTGTGAGTGATCCTTTAATTCTATCCCACAACTGTTTGAAAATCTTTCTGAACAGTGCATTTGTTCCTGGGTTTTCTTGCATTGCACTCTTTCTAAAAGCAGCTGGGCTGACAGTGACTTTCTTTTTCCCTCTATGTCTTTTGCTAAGGTTTCAGAAGAGCAGGTATCCTTTTTTTTTAACTGACAATTTACATTCAGAGAGTGATAATGTGTAGTTTCAGCTTTTCCTGGTTCAGTATTAGAATCTCCTTCTGCATTGTCCTTTTGTTTGTTCTCACAGTTGTTTTTTGAGAAGGATTGTGAACTGCTACCTCTTGATATTCTGCAACTAGATGATCTTTCACTGCTTCTTGAATCTCTGGTGGAAGAACTTTTGGAGATATGGTAGCTTCTACTTCTGCTATGCCCTTTGCCAAAATGCCGGTGTCTGTGTCTGCTATGTTTAGATCTGTCTCTATGGTGTAAAACTCTATGTCTTAAACACCATTGATACTTAATTGTGCCCTTCTGTGAACAGTTTCTAGTTTTTTGACTACGAATATGGCAAAGGTAATCCTCATCTGCATCATCAGAAGTGAATATGCAGTTGTGCTTTCTGTGCTTATGTTTGTGCCTTTCAGCTATCTTGCTTTTTCTTTTGCAACCAAAGAGCAAATGATTTCTACTGTGATTGCTCGAGGTGGGACTAGAGGAACTCCTTATGTAGGTACTTGTACTACTAATAGAAGTGTCAGAATAGCTAGAATGTCTGTCAGAGGAGGACTTCTGAGGGGAGGAGAATCTCCAACATCTCATATAACTTCCACATCCTTCATTTTCTGAATATCTGTTGTTCAAACTGGATTTAAAACTAAGGAAACTTCCACCAGAATCTTTTCCATTGTCACTTATGTCACCACTGCAGCTGGCCAAGTCTTGAATAGATCTGCAGTCATTTTGGTTTTCATGTTTTCCTTCAGAATAAATCAAATGACATTTTGCAGCCTTAGATTTTTTAATCCTAGACATAAAAGCAGAAAAGGAAATACTTTCATTTCTAATGCTATGCTTCTTTCTTTCACAGTTGTGAAAATGATGCTTTAAAGATCTTCTCAGTGTTGTTGTATGAAGAATTTTTTCTCTCATATAAACCTTTTGTGAGACATCAAGGTAAGCAGGCACTTTGGGTATATTTTCGTTCAAATAATACGAAATGTATTTTTGACCATTTTCATTCATTTGTTTCCCTATATCTGACTCAGCTTTTTGCTTGGCCTTTCTTGGGTTTAGGGAACCTTTCATCTTCTTTGGTTTCAACAACTGATTATCTTGTTCATTTGACATTTGCTTGTGTTTTATTAAACCTGAGGCTTCATTTTCATCTGCATTCTTATTTATAGAGTGCTCTTTACAGCTTTCTTTGTTTGTTTCATGCTGTTTACCATCTCTGTGGTTTAAAGAGAGCCTGAAGTCAAAATATAATGGATTACAGCCATATGAAATGCAGGGCTCAGTTTTTGTAAACAAAAGTAGTTCTGTGGGCCACTGCAGAGCAGTGCTGCCATCTTTGCTCACTACATGAAGAAAAGGCAATGCTTGGGGCTTAACCTCTTTAACCACAGTCTCCCTTGGAAGCGTTTCCATATTCCCATTCTGAACTCTGAAAAGATCTGACCTCTCAAAAGATCGCTCTCTTTTGACCTTCCCAGGACCGTCATTAATGTAGCTTACATCTCCCTGCTCAGGCGCTTGATGTGGTGGGAGCTCTGGTAACTGGCCAGGCAGGTGGGCATTGCTGTGCTTGTAGGTGTTCTGCTGTGTACAAAAATTGCTAGTGTGGCATGAAGGTGAAACACGCATTTCTAACAATTGCTCAGACTCATTCAATTTACTGTCTTGCTCTGTTTCTCTAAGTGAACCAGAAAAATGCAAATTTGAAAGATGAGTTTTGACTTTGGAAAATGAAAGATGAGTATTGACTGTTTCTTCTAATTCTCTATCACTGCTTTTATCATTTTCCTTTAGCATTTTAGGTTTGGCAGCTACATGACTTGATGCACTGTTATCCAAATCCATTTGGTCTTGTGGAATAGGTGGCCCTTTATCCAGGTTTGATTTTACATCCTCCTCCAAAAGTGAGCCAAGATGACAGCCCTCAGGAGCTTGCTTTATTTTATAGTTGGAGGATTCACTACAATCATTTCCTTCTTCAAAATTCTCACTGAAGACTGAGGCTGAAGACTCGAGCTTCAAAGGGACTTTTTTAGAGAATGAGAAAGACACTCCTGTCCTTTGAGAAGCACTGGTGCTACGTGGGAACACTCGTGAGACTTGATTTCCAACCATGTTGAGTCTCTCAGTAGGTGACCGGTGCCTGCTAATGATAAGCTGCTGTTTCTCTAATATGCTCCTGGGGAAACCTTGTCCTTCACCCATGGCCGTGGTTTGAGTACCGGTCATGAATTTGCCACCCTTGTATAGGAAAATTTCATCTGGTGATTGCTCCTTTTCCACAACTAATCTGGGGGCTTTAAGCATTGGTCCATTTTCTGTGATGCTGTAAGAAAACAAATAAAAACTGCTGTATTAATTATGCAACCGAGTAAAGAGAAGACTCATGTCTGACAATATCTGTCAGGTAAAGAAGAGTGTCAGACTTGCTGCTACAAGGAAATTTAGAGTTTCTAAAGAGGAAATGTGTGCTATAGCCCTGCGCTGTTGGCTTCTGTAAGGAAAAGACAATCTTTACGTACAGCAAATGATGCAATTTCTAGTCAGCACATGAACACTTTTTTTTCCAGTTATGCCCGTGTACATGCCCAATAAACAATATTGTTTTTCATTCTAAATTCATATTAGTGAGAATCTAGTCTGTGATTATTCCCAGTTTTTTAAGAGATCAATGCTTTGATCTCTTAAAAAGGAAGGAAATGGTGCCTCATACAATATAAGACACTTTCATCCAGAGGATCTGCAGAATCAGACTCAATAAGAGAAAAGGCCAACGCACCATTCTGCTTACCGTTGCGGGGAGGGGGGGGTGGGCTATGATTTTTAAAGACTATATTCTTATTTTACCTTTGCATCCTTCTACAATAAAATGATTTTGTGAAATATTCAGAGAGATATGTCAAGACTATCACCATATATTGGCAAGGGGAAGGAATACAAGGTGGATTTCCCTCAGTGTTATTGGCAACTTCAGCATTCCCATTATCAATCACCATTTGACTTTCTTTGTCACATTTTCTCCCCCTATATTTTACTTTGATTAATTAAATTTTTCCTCTTCTCCAAACTCTCAGATTTTGAACTTGTTTGCTTTTCTAGTAATTTTTTGAAATTCAATCTATTCTAAGAAGGCCCCCACAAACAGATGGTAAATCATCTATTTCTTGCAATAGATGATTTACTGAGACTGGAATGACTACCATCATTTTCCATTAGAGATGAGACATATATAGCCAAAATAAAAATGTTATTCCATTTAATATTTTAAACGTGCATTTCATGAGACAATTATCTATATTTGTTACTAATGCAGTGCATATTATAAAAAAATAGAAAATAATAGAAAATAATAGAAAATATTTTAATCAAGTGTAAGTAAATTATAGTTGCTAGATCTGCATAGCAGCTATGTACAGATAGGCTAGCATGTTTTATAAATGCTATAAAAATGCACGGATTTCCAGCAGTGGAAATGAAATAAAGACTCCCTGCAGTAGAGTCAGCTCAGACTATGAGAATATGTCTGCATTTCTGAGAATATATTTGCATTTGCCACAAGTTTAGCATCAAGAGATACAAATTCACCACAATTTGTACATCAGGAAGGAATTACCTCTTGGAGAATGTGGAATATGAAGAGATCCTTTTCAAAGTCTCCTTGGAATAGCAAAATAAAGCTGCTTTTTTCAGTTTTTGTGTGAATCAGATTAACTGTAATTTTGTTGTCAAAATAGATTAGCTTATTGTAAGGAACTCTATTGGAACCTGAGATACATTACACAGCGATGAAAACAGTTGTGTGTAGACTTTTGCTTAGAAAGGCTAACTTGCTCTCTTGCCTGAATTATTGGGAATCCCTAAGCCAAGTGCACAGATCTCAGCCACCTCTGAACCCATCAATCATTACACATAGGAGTAGCAAGTGCTCTCTTGTCAGGCTGACATTATCAGTCTATCTGAGAACACACCTTCAAGTACATAGTCACACAGAAGTCTTCTCACAGGCAGTTACATTTCTTTCAATGGATTTGTATGAAAATGGAGTTTCAACCATAAAAGTGATACACTAGCACTAAACTGTTATATTTCTGCAGATTACTCAAAAGTAATTGCGTAGGCCAAAATTAGTGTATAATAAACCCTGACTCTTATTATTTCGAGGGTACTGTAAGCTTGATACAGTACCCTGTGTACTGCTTAATTATCTACTTAGCCCATTATTGAACTTAAAAGGATGCCTGCTTAATTATCTACTTAGCCCATTATGGTCATAGAATTAAATTAACATAAACAATTGGTCTGATGGCAATCTATTCTATTGATGCATTTGACGTCATTAAACAAAGGAGATTTCTAAAATGTAAAGCTTTATTAGAGCAAACTTCATACTGTATCTTGATATTCATCAGTTGAGCTAACAGTATTCAGTAAACCTAACTGAGGTAATTACTTGTTTTTCATTCTCTCTACAGAGAAACTGTGAGAATAATCTCAGTGTAGTAGAAGTAATGAAAATGATTCACAGACTAAGTACAGAGATGCTAAAAGGTGTTTTTCCTCTCCCTTTCACTCACCATAAAAATAAGACAGTTATACTAATTATTCAGGTCAGTTTTAGTAAGAAAAAATGGTGTTATAAAATGATCTTCAAACCATTCAGTTCAGAACAGATTAGATTAACTGGCTACAGAGAGAAAAAAACAAACCTTCAAATGCCAAGTAATTAATTTAAGGACTTTCAATTTTATGGTTTGCAGAACAGGAACATTTGGATTTGGGGATAACTGGAAACAGGCTACAGTATATGCAATCTCTGTACATTATAGAGTATAGGAGTAAAAATTTGAAGATTTCTTCTGGGATTTAGGAAGAGGGTGTCAAACTTACTATAAATTAAAAATACTTGCCATTCTGACTGCTTCCGCAACTCTGCGAGCTGGTGGAGCCGCTTGAGTGCTTTTTCCTGTTTCTTCTCATCTTTCCATGACTTTGAAGCCACATTTCGAGCAAATTCCCTTTGTTTTAAATCTTTCAATCTCTGTGTGAAAAGAGTAAAAAGAGAGAGCATTAAATATGCACGTAGTAGATGCATTCCTTCTTATTCAATGCGTATGCTTTTGGTGAAGTTAGTATGTAAATGGAGAGTAAAAACATGCTTAAAATACTATCATCTTAAGAAGAGACTGAAAATGCTATTTTTGCCTAACAAAACAACATGATTGGGCCCCTTGCTACTGAGATATACCCACATACCTTAGCTGATATATATCCATATAATTACAATACAGCTTTTTAGATGCAGATTTTGATATTGAAAGATGTTTGCCTTTTATATACATGTCTTCTGTTGTCTACAAATATACATGAAACTAGACTCCACTTAATTCATTGGGAATCTTCTAATTGAACTCAGTTAGCTCGAACTTAATCCATAGGAATATACTGGAATAAACCTGAGCGTGTGTGTGTGTAATATATTTTATAAATTTCTGTATTTGTGCGTGTATATGTGGATATATGTGTGTCTTGGTGTTGGTTTTGTAGGTTTTTAAGACTGCAGTTATTGTTCAAGGGAGAGAACTAGCGTCTGAAAGATTTCCTCAGAAAATTATGTTATGGTTATGTTCAAAAATTTTCTAGATCACCTCATATGCCTGTAAGTCAGATGATAATTCCTGTTGGAGAAAGCAAAATTCTTTGCAGTTATTATATTCTTTATTACATGGTTTTGCACTGCTGCTATAAATGAAGGTGTAAAGAAGAAGACACAGAACCAAAGATGTCAAAAGTATCCTCTGAAAAGTCATGGAGCTGTCTTAGCCTTGAGTTTCAGGACCCAGAGGTTGCTAAAATCAGACCTTATGACCCAGGAGCACTTTGCAGCTCCCACTTCAGGTCCATGCTTCCATGCTCCAGCCACCCCCAGCTCCATGGCAGAAATGCCTTCCTTCTCCCCACCTCCCCAGGGCTCTGATTTCCATGGGAAGGGAGGTTTGTAAGCCAGCTATGGCTTACAAACCATAGTTGGCCAGTCAGCCAGTTCCCTAAACTGCACACCTCGGGGACGAGGGTTGAGAGGTCCAGCCTTCAGGTGGCTTTAGGCACCTCCATGCACACCAGAACTGTAGTAGCAATGCTGAGAAATGCTAAATTTTCCATGGAGCTCAGATAGTTGCTTTTTGTAAACTTTAAACTTGAAGAAAGGCACTGGTATCACAGTCTTTTTTTTAACTGGTACTCAGCTACAAGCAGCTATGTCTGCCTTCCTGCCCACCAGTACCTGTGGAACAACATCCCAAGCACTGCCATGATCTTGCACTGTTGTTTCCCTCTGGCATGGCCAAACGCACAGCACGCTTCAGCA